CTCTACGTGCCGGAGCCGGAGGCCTCCTAACGGCCCTGCGCAGCCACGTCCAGCCACGCCCCCCGGAGCCGCCAGTGCCAGATCCATGTTGCCAAAGGGCCTGTCGCCACCCCCAGCCACGCTCTCCGCTGCCAAATGTGCCACGGCCGTGCCCAGCCTAGACCCGAGATGCCAGAGTGGGAGGTGCCACAACCACGCCCCACGTCACCAGAGGAACCACGATCGCGTCCAGCCACCCCTCGGTCACCAGCTCGCCCTGTGTCAAATGAGGTGTCCTGGCTGTGGCCAGCCATGTCCAAATGAGCCAGGAGCTTTCCCAGTCTTGTCACCAGGGCTCACCCACTCGCAGCCACAGCCCAGAGAAACCTGAGCTGTGCCCTGCCACCCCGCGCCACGCCTGCCCCCCCCCCGCCCCCCTCCTGTCCTAGCCACAGCCGAGAGAACCCTGAGCTGTGCCCTGCCACCCCCCGCCACACCTGACCTCCCCACGGCCGAGAGAAACCTGAGCCGTGCCCTGCCACCCCGCGCCACGCCTGACCTCCCCACGGCCGAGAGAAACCTGAGCCGTGCCCTGCCACCCCGCGCCACGCCTGACCTCCCCACGGCCCAGAGAAACCTTAGCTGTGCCCTGCCGCCCCGCGCCACGCCTGACCTCCCCACGGCCGAGAGAAACCTGAGCCGTGCCCTGCCACCCCGCGCCACGCCTGACCTCCCCACGGCCTTGAGAACCCTGAGCCGTGCCCTGCCATCCCGCGCCACGCCTGACCTCCCCACGGCCTTGAGAACCCTGAGCCGTGCCCTGCCATCCCGCGCCACGCCTGACCTCCCCACGGCCTTGAGAACCCTGAGCCGTGCCCTGCCATCCCGCGCCACGCCTGACCTCCCCACGGCCTTGAGAACCCTGAGCCGTGCCCTGCCATCCCGCGCCACGCCTGACCTCCCCACGGCCTTGAGAACCCTGAGCCGTGCCCTGCCATCCCGCGCCACGCCTGACCTCCCCACGGCCTTGAGAACCCTGAGCCGTGCCCTGCCATCCCGCGCCACGCCTGACCTCCCCACGGCCTTGAGAACCCTGAGCCGTGCCCTGCCATCCCGCGCCACGCCTGACCTCCCCACGGCCTTGAGAACCCTGAGCCGTGCCCTGCCATCCCGCGCCACGCCTGACCTCCCCACGGCCTTGAGAACCCTGAGCCGTGCCCTGCCATCCCGCGCCACGCCTGACCTCCCCACGGCCTTGAGAACCCTGAGCCGTGCCCTGCCATCCCGCGCCACGCCTGACCTCCCCACGGCCTTGAGAACCCTGAGCCGTGCCCTGCCATCCCGCGCCACGCCTGACCTCCCCACGGCCTTGAGAACCCTGAGCCGTGCCCTGCCATCCCGCGCCACGCCTGACCTCCCCACGGCCTTGAGAACCCTGAGCCGTGCCCTGCCATCCCGCGCCACGCCTGACCTCCCCACGGCCTTGAGAACCCTGAGCCGTGCCCTGCCATCCCGCGCCACGCCTGACCTCCCCACGGACCTGAGAAACCTGAGCTGTGCCCTGGCATCCCGCACCACGCCTGACCTCCCCACGGCCCTGAGAAACCTGAGCCATGCCCTGCCACCCGTGCCACACCTGAGCTCCCCATGGCCCTCAGAAACCTGAGCCGTGCCCTGCCGCCCCGTGCCACACCTGAACTCCCCACAGCCCTGAGAAACCTGAGCTGTGCCCTGCCACCCCACGCCATGCTTGAGCTCCCCATGGCCCTGGCCCACGTCACTGGGCGGTCTGTCGCTCGGTGCTGTAACCACTGCTCTCCACAGCCTCCGTCTCCAGAAGCCCTGTGTCTGGGCCTGGCCACGCTCCCGTCACCATGCCCCACCGTGCCCCCCTCACCACAGGCTCAGGTTTCTGTCTGTCACTAGAGCAGGAAGCTGCCCGCAGATCTCAAAGCGCCAGACTGTACCAAATGCCATGGTGGCTCCTTCGGAGACTGCAGGGCCCAGCTCCAAATTCACTGAGACGGGCAGTGGCCAGGGTTCCCTGTAAGCTGAGCGCTTGGGCAGCCATCCAGGAGAGATTCCAACGGCGCCCATCTAATTAGCAGAGCACCCACAGCCGGCAGTGTATGTTTCTCCTGATGGTGCACACCCCCACATGCCTCGGTGCACAACACAAAATTTATTCCACGCATGGCTGGGAAAAAATAGAGGGGACATTGGCAGTGACCTGACGTGGTTCCAAGCCTCCTGGATCTGTACAGCCATGGCCAGGGTCTGAGCATGTTCGCATCCATCCCGAGATGGTCTCCAATAAAATATGGTCATGGCCACTGTGTCTCCTGTGTGCACATGCGTGTCTGGGGTTCTGTCTGCCAGATGGTCCCCGGTCAATCCGTCAGGGATCAGGTCTGTGTGTATATGGGCCAGGACACCCCAGGGACTGAGCAAAGGGCCAGCAGTCATGGATTTATCCCTCTGGCACACACCCATGCGAGTACAGTACCGCAGTCTCGTCGTTGCTTCTTATGGGAACAGGTTGAGGTTGCAACCAAGAGCAGGGTCCCTGTTTTGCCATGTGCCTCATACACCCGATGAGATCAGGGCCCCCTTGTGCTGGGCACTTCACAGACCCCAGCCAAGATCCGAGACCCGCTGTGACAGGCGCAAGATCCGGGCCCCCACTGGGTCGGGCGTGGCACAGAATCACAGTAAGAATCAGCCCCTGCCTTGAAGAGTTCACAGAGAGAACAGATGAATGGGTGGGAGGGGAAAAAGAGAATAATACTCAGGGATCGTCACCCACAGCTGAGTCAGGTGGGGAAGGACGCTGGTCTACACGGGTCTATGGGCAGCAGGCAGATGTACATGAAAATGGGGGGGGGCAATTTTTTAACTTTGCCAAAGTACAGGTCAGAGTTCATCTGAAAATCTAATGAACTACATTTTCCTACTGGATAAGCATCAGAGCCAGTTTGGGGCTGGAATATAATTTGGCTCAACCCACTGTCACTGAGTTCTGGGAGTGCTGGCTTTCTGAATTTAAAGTGAGGTGCTTCTCAGATCTCCATTGGCCTCGGTCAGTATGTCCCAAGTGAAGACACTGGATTATTCATAACCAACCAACCAGTCTATTAACTCGCCACGAACCACCCAGATCAACAACCAACAGTTCTCAGTTCTTCAGCATCTCTAACACACCTGCCTCTCTTAAAAATAATTCCCCAAGGAGTAAAGTTATGTCTCACTACACCCTAAGGAGTTCTGGTCCCTGATGGTGCTTATGTCGGCTTTGAAAGGGACTTGTGTAAAGATTCAAAAGCAGCTGCTTAAAGATTTCCTGTGAGGTTCCCTTAGCTCAATTGACTTGCAACACAAACACACACATGCCTCCGAGAGGCAGGGGCTACCTAGCACCTTCTACACTACGGGCAAGGTCAACTTCACAACAACACGCAGGGGTGTGGAGTTTTCACACCCAGCCTGACTTGGCAGGGTCACCTGAACTTTGGCGTGTAGACAAAAAAAAGTCTCTGAAATGCAACCTCACCGCTTCCTCTCACTGCTGCTCAACCTGGGACATGGGAGCCTGTCCCTGTTGCAGCAGCTTCTTGGGTGGAGTCAGCAAACGCTGATGTTTTAGGCCTGGTTTCAGGGTTGGGTGGAGGAAGGAATTCCTTTCCATATGTTGGCAGGGTCACCTGAACTTTGGCGTGTAGACAAAAAAAAGTCTCTGAAATGCAACCTCACCGCTTCCTCTCACTGCTGCTCAACCTGGGACATGGGAGCCTGTCCCTGTTGCAGCAGCTTCTTGGGTGGAGTCAGCAAACGCTGATGTTTTAGGCCTGGTTTCAGGGTTGGGTGGAGGAAGGAATTCCTTTCCATATG